TCTTGAAGGTTCTGATCTACGCCTCAGTGTAGCTGGTGTTGTAGAAATGGAGAGGCAGATGGCGAGGCGCCTCCTAGCGAGGGCGAATGGAAACGACGTCAGAAGCGGCCCTTGGGTGGGGCTGTGGGGCGGGACTCTGGGTTCGTCATCTTCCGGGGGGCGGGACTGGCGTGGCGCTGCGGGATGGTCTCTGGGGTCTTGCTGCCCTCTGCAGGGCGTCGGAGGAACTGCCCGTGGGACAGAAGGGGCCCCCAGGCCAAGTGATAGGACTTAGGTACCACTGGTTCTTGGCAACCTTACCCCCAGTTTGCTCTTCAGGGACCCCTCTCCACTCAGAATATTAAGCGAATAAATCCAGTTAACGTAACTGTTAAAGATGACCTAGAAGTGAGGGAAAGGATGAAATATAGGAGCCTCAAACTTAGAACAGGTCTTGGTGGGGAAGTTGTTCGTTGTTAGATACTTCGAGTCAAGTACGGCTAATAGCGACTCTACGAACAACAGATTACCTTGTCCAATTCAGTGCCATGTTCACCATCTCTGACACATTTGAGCCCATTGCTGTAGTCACTGTGTTGAGGGTCTTCGAAGCTTTTTCGTCATACCTTGATTTCCCTCTCCAAGGAATGTTGTTGGTATGTGCTGTCGAGTTGCTTGGGACTCATAGCGACCCTACATACAGCCCCGAAGCCTGCTCTATCCTGTGCCAACTTTTCTGTCTCTGACACACCAACCCTCATTACCCCAGTGACTATATCAATCCATCTCATTGATGGTCTCTTCTTTCTCCATCCCTCCACCCTTTCAAATATGATGTCCTTCTCTAAGGACTGGTCCCTCCGTGCAACATGACCAAAGTATGTCAGATGAAGCCTCAGAATCTTTGCTTGCCTCTAAGGAATAGCTTGACTTCACCTTCTCTAGGATGAACCTGTTTGTTCTCCTGGCAGAACACTCTTCTCCAGCACCACAGCTCAAAAGCATCAATTCTCTTTCTATCATCCCTAGTCATGGTCCAGCTCTCTGACACATAGCAAGCAACTACGAAGACTATGGCCTGGATCAGATGCACTTAGTCTCCAGACTGGTGGTGTTGCTCTTCAGTACTCTGGAGAGGTCACTGACGGCCAGCTTCCCCATTGCAGTTTGTCTCTTGATTTCCTGTCTGCTGGTACCAAGAGTTTTGATTGTAGAGCCAAGCAAACTAAAGCTGTTAACAATCTCAATCTCTTCGTCATCTATCTTGATGTTGCCAATAGGTTCAGTGTTGAGAATCTTTGTTTTCTTGATGTTGCGCCTCAACCCATATTGGAAGCTGCAGTCTTTGATCTTCTGCAGCAAGCGCTTCAGGTCCTCCTTAGTTTCAGCAAGCAGGGTTTGTCATCTGCGTAATGCAGGTTATTGATGAATCTTCTTCCAATCCTGATGCCACATTCCTTCTCATACAGCCCAGCCTCCTGAAATAGCCTCTCCTAATAACATGCCCAAAGTGTGTGAGATGAAGTTTCACCATCCTTGCCTGTAAGGAGCACTCTGGTTGCACTTTTCCCAAGAAATACCAGTCTTGTTTTTTTGGCAGTCCGTGGGATAGTTGGTTCTCTTCTTCTCTGTGTAACTTGGCAACATTTTAATCCTCTCCCTCGAGCCCCCAAAGTCTGCAGAATCTGTGTTTCTATGTTTTCTCAATTTCTTAAGTGATGGGCTTAAATCAACAACAACTCATTGCTTGTCGAGTTGGAACCAGGTTTTCAGAGGCTCTGATCACATGGGAGGAGATTGTTTACCTTTCTTCTTAGTAGCAGTTTGTGGATTTGAACCCCCATAGCGGTGTGGTCTTTGGATAGTAGTGCAAAACTCCCTAGGGCCACCAGAGCGATTTTATGACATAAGAGTTGTTGTGTACCATCGAGCCAGAACTGACTCATATCTGACCCTCCAGAGGGTTTTCAGAGGTAGTTAAGTATAGAAAGAGATTGCCCATCTTTCTCCACAGAGCAGCTAGTGGATTTGAACTGTGTATGTTCGGGTAGGCAGTGCGATTTTTTACCACTATGTTACCAGAGTGACTGACAGCCTACAAGGGAGATGAAAGGGCTTGACTGCTTACTTGCAACTGTGCCCTTTGGTAGCATGGACACACACGCTCTTGAGGACTAGCTTAATCATTCCATGAACTCTCTGCCTGTAGGAACAGCATGTGGGAAATGCAGTTGAAAGTCCATCCGCCAAACAAGGTTTTGCAACTGCTGCAAATAAAAATCATAGTATACCCAAAGTTGCGCAGTTCAAATCCACGAGACGCTCTGCTGGAGTTGGATCCGATTTGATGGTACACAACAAGAAAAGAAGAAATAAATCTATAGAATATTTACATTTCACTTGTTAGTGACTCCAGATTAAGCTAAGACACCAAGCCACAAAGCCTCAAGGACTAGCATATACAGTTAAAAGAATATTGAAATATGATTGGAAGAACAAAGTGAAGCTAATCGAATGTTAAAGGAATTTTATTCTTTTCTTTATATTCTAAGATTTCCCCTCTCAGCATTTCCTTTCCTTCATGTTGTATTTATCGGCTGGAACAATACAAGAAATGCCACTTTTTAAAATCCCACAGGAAAAATGATCCACTTTGCAGTCATGCATCTATAGTAACTGAACATCTGCTAGACTGTGGTTAGACTTTAGCTGTTGGTGTAGGAAAGTTGATTTTCAGAACTTTCAGGATATGCAGTCAGGCATATCATTGGTGGTAGCAAGGCGTTGAGGGTTGACGTGGAAGTTAATTCAATGTCTAACTCTGATGTGCAGTGCCTTTTAATGCATGATTTCCTAGTCATTCAAGTTCTTGCAGAAATGAGATTTGGGATTTTACTATTTTCCCCTAGACACAGAGCTTATTAGTATGGTGTGGATTGTGTGTGTGTCACTGATCCCTTTGTGAATTGACTGAAAACTAGGGAGTTATTAGCTTAGTGGAAGGAGTTCAAACCCATCAGCTGCTTCACAGGACAAACTTGGGCAATCTCCTCCTGTCCAATTTATAACCTTTGGAACCATATTAGAGGGCCAGCTATGAGTCGGTTCCGACTTGATGGCACACACGAGGAAGAATACATGAGTCCCTGCCTCCTGAAATGAATCCATTTGTGCACACAGATCTTGTTCATAATTTCAGGAGATCTACGCTAATCTCACATCTAGATTAAGAACTCCTTTTTAACCGTCTCCTTCACCCCCAAGTCCAGAGAACTTCTAGAGTTTTGTTTTTAGAGATTTATAAAAGAATTTGTATTTTCTGCCTGTGACATTTATGATTTGCATTGTATAAGATAAGATCGCTCGCTTTTCTCTAGAAGTTCTGGGAATGGATAGCTTTGACATATTAGGAACACGGCAAAGATAATAGTAAGATTGGTTTAGTTTTCCACATATAATTATGATGATGCTAGACAATATAAAAAAAAGATATTTTTCTACTTTCTGGGAACTTAATTTGTTGTTGTTAGGTTTCATCAAGTTGAGTATGACCCGTAGAGACCCTATGAACAACAAACAGATCTGAACCCTGTCCGATCCTGTGCCACCTTCACCCTTCCTGACACGTTAGAGCTCATTATGCCGAGCTCTGTGTCAGTCGACCCGTTTGAGGGTCTTCCTTTCCTTCACCAACCCTTTACCTTTCCAAGCATCATGTCCCTCTCCAAGGAACAGCCCCTCCTAGTAACATATGTGAAGTGGAGCCTCATCATCTTTGCCTCCAAAGAGCACTCTTGCTGTACCCTCTCTAACACGTTTGTTTGTTCTTTTCCAACGCCACAGTTCAAAGAGATCAGTTATTTTTCTGTCATCCTTATTCATAGTGCAGCTCTCAGATGCATAGCAAGTGTTCAGAAAGACCACATGGCCTGAATCAGATGCACCTTAGTCCTCAGACTGACATGATTACTCCTCAATAATTTGGAGAAATTCCTAACTGCAGACTCTCTCGATGTAATATGTCTCCTGATTTCCTGACTGCTGGTACTAAGGGTATTAATTGTGGATGCTTAGACAATATAAAAGAAAGAGATTTTCCTGTCTTCTGAGGTGGGAAAAAACCCTGTAAAGTTCCAGTAGATTCACAGTGGTTAAGAGGTAGTAAGTTGGTGATGGTCAAGAAGTCCTGGTGGTGCAGCAATTAAGGAATTGGCTGCTAACTGGCTACTGAATGAATAATTGGAGATTAGAATCCACTTACCTGCTCCTGGGACGTCTTCAAAATTATGAAGAGCAAGGATGTCAGTTTGATGACTAAGGTGTGCCTGACTCAGGCCCTGGTCTTCTCAATCATATGCTATTCATCAGAGAGCTGGACAATGAATAAGGATGACAGGAGAAAAATTGATGCCTTTGAGTTATGGTGTTGGACAAGAGTACTGAATATCTCATGGACTGCCAAAAGAAGAAACATATATCTTGGGAAAAAATGCAGCCAGAGTGCTCCTTGGAGGCTAAGATGGGGAAGTTTCAATTTTCATACTTTGGACATGTAGCTAGGTGAGGTTATTCTTAGAGACATCATATTTGGAGAGATAGAAGATGAGTGAAGGAGAAGATTACCCCTATTGAGAAAGACTGACATGGTGACTTCAGCAGTGGGCTCTGGTGTGTCAGAGGTGAGGATAAGGCCGAGTTCAGGTCGGCTGTTAATAGGGTCGTTATGAGTTGTACTTGATTTGAAGGCACCTAACACGGCCACCACCACCACTACCATCACCTACTCCTTAGGAGAAACACCTGAGAATTTGCTCCCCAGAAAACCCTGTGAGCAGTTCCACTCTGCCACATGGGGTCACTGTGAGTCAGAGTCAACTCTCCAGTGTAATGGGGAGAACTTGAATCCATGCCTTCTGTTTGATCAGGGAGGACTTGCACAAGACTTGACTTGATACAGAGCTCTCTGAGCAGTGTCCTTTTGCTAAATTAAGGGCTTTTGCTAAATTAAGATCCTCCTGCAGATGGAAGAATTGGAACAAGGCCTGAGGCTGCAGCCGTGGGCGTGGCTCCAGCTTGCTGAGAACTCCCTCTTGGCCAAGGCTTATATCACCACACATGGCTACACTTTGCTTGTTTCTGATCTTCAACAAGTGTGGCACGAACAGGTGGACACTCGTGTAGTAAGCCATCGGGCCAAGGTAAGTGTGAAAGACTGGGGGTTGGTTAGTGGTAGTGTACCATCGGGGCGGAACCGGCCCATAGCTGATCCTCCAACCGGTTTTCAGAGGCAGTTAATTTGCCCGGGAGTTGATTGCCTCACTTTCTCCTAAAAAGCAGCTGGTGGGTTCAAACCGTGTACCTTTGTCTTGGCAGCACAGCTTCTTACTGCTAAGTCGCCAGAGCTCCCCCAAATACTGAGGGTGGTGGATATAATTTTTTTTTCTGGTGAAGGGCAGGGAATATTCAAATAAACCAGCCTCTTGGCTTCTAGGTTGCCAAGGAAGGTTGAATCAGGTTGAGCCAATTCCGTTTCATGTCCTGGTATTTCTTCCTGAAGCGGAGATCTCTCCTAATGGTTGTGCATGTGCATGTTTTGATCTTCCTTTCTCTTCCCTTCATGCCTGTTATCTTCAGTTAACCACAGTGTTCCTTTGCTGTTACTTAGGAGACCCCCAGTGTCCTTTTAGCATACTCACCCAGTCTTTGCAATTCCTGCTGTTTCCTCAGGAGCTGAACAAACGCCTGACTGCGCCTCCTGAAGCTTTCCTCCGGCATTTGGAAGATCTGCTTTGCCCGTTATTGAAGGACGCTGCCCCTCCTAGTGAAGCCGCCTTCTCCTGTGAGCATGTGGCAGACGCATTGATAGTCCGGGTGCGGAGCGAGCTCTCTGGCCTCCCTTTCTATTGGAATTTCCACTGCACCCTAGCAAATCCTTCCCTGGTAAGTATGACTGGAATATATACCAGAGTGGAGGCTACTTTGTCCCCCCCCCCCCCATAGGCTCCATTTAAAATTCTTTGCTTGAAAAATTTCCTCTACTAAACAAGACAAAGGTCATATAGCCCTGGTCTGTCCACTTGCCGTACAGAGGTAACTTGTTGCTGTGAAGCTGAACATTGAGATACTGATGTGTCAAATGTGTTTATGGTTACACATGGCGGGCAGTGTTTGGTGGCGCTCCCCGATTAAAACAAGCTTGGAAGCAGGAGTGGCATCCACTTCCGTGATAGCTTGCCTCCGGAAACCCTGTGAACCTGGAGAGAGGATGAAAGTCACACAAGTGTTGAGGACTCTCCTTCATAAGGTCACTATGAGTCGCCTACGACTTGACGCCACTTAACAGCAACAACAGCAAACAAGACAAAAAAAGAATTATTGACTTATTTTTTCTCTCTCCAAAGCTAGTGTGGTTTAAGTCTATACACTCTGTTGTGTCTTTATTTGTAATGTATTTATTTATTCGGCTTTTGGTAAGCATCTAAAAAACCCCTTTGTTGCCATTGAGTCAGAACCAACTCAGAGCTGAGCCTGTGGCAGGTTTTCTGAGACCATAAATCATGTGGGAGGAGGCTCCTCATCTTTTCCCTTCAGGGCATCTGGTGGATTTGAACCTCTTTCTTCAGGTTGGCAGTAGTACACAACTCCTTACCCACTCGGCCACCTGTTGTTGTATGTGTTGAGTTTGAACTGACTCATGGTTGTCCCTCCAGTGGGTTTTCATAGGCCATAGACACAGGAAGAAATTGCCCATCTTTCTCTTTTGGAACAGCTGGTGGATTTGAACCACATGCCTTTTGGTTTGACATGGCAGCTTCTTACCTCTAGGCCACCAGAGTTCCCATTATTAGATATCTGTTGTTTAACCCTATGAATGACATGTCTGAGCCATGCCCTAAGCTGCACCATCTTTAACACCTCTGATGTGCTCAAGTTCATTGTTACTGTCACTATCAATCCATCTTGTTGAGAGTCTTCTTCTCTTTCTTTGACTTTCTGCCTTTCCAAGCATGCTGTCCTTTTCCAAAGACTGGCCTCTCCTGACAACATGTACAAAGTCTGTGAGATGCAGTTTCACCATCCTTTTCCTGAGGAGCATCCTGGTTGCACTTCTGTAAGACAGACTTATGTCTTTTGGCAGTCTGTGAGATATTCAGTACTCTTCTCCCACACTACAATTTAAAGGCATCACTTCTGTCTTCCTTATTCATCGTCCCACTTTCATTTATAAGCATCTTTTGTTGGTAGATGCTGTCAGGTTGAGTACTACTTATAGTGATCCTGTGAACAGCACACCTGAACTCTGTCCTCTCCTGTGCCATCCTCATCATCTCTGACAGACTTGAGCCCATTGCTGCAGTCACCATGTCAAGCCATCTCATTGAGGGTCTTCTTTTCTTTCACTGACTTTCTACTTTTACATTCATTGTTGCAATTATTAATGATTGTTTGCAGCTGTTTCTCCTGTGACTTCTCATCTGGGCTCTACCTCTAAGACTATAGCTATTGACATTCCTCTATTGTTTGTAGGGTTTTCAAAAGTCTTTTATTTTGAAAGTGGATGGCTAAGCCTGCTTCCTAATCTGTCTTAATCTAGGATCTCTGATGCAACCTGTCTGCCATGGGTGACCCTTCTGGCATTTGAGACACCAGTGACATAACTTCCAGTGTCACAGCAACCTACAAGTTACACCAGTACAGCAGACTGACAGACAAATGCTACACTCGTAAGACCAAACAAACAAGCATTACACACCAAAGCCATAAAGTAATTAGCCACATGCAAATCATTCCCCAAGATAACACATGGACAGTTAGGTGTATATGCTAATTAAAGGACCCCAGGTGGTCCAATAGTGAAACCCTTGGCTGCTAACTAAAGAGCTGTTGTTTTGAACCCAGCTGCTCCAAGGGAGAAAAGAACTGAATGTCTGCTCCCATAAAGATTACGTAGCCCAGCAAATCCTAGAAAACAATTCTCTTCTGTCCTATAGATCACTATGAGTAGGAATTAACCTACGATGCACAGCAACAACAATGTATGCTAATTATTGGGGGCCCAGATCTAAAAGTAGAACTTCTTTCTGCAGTTCATAATCTAATGAGAAAATAAATAGGACATAATCTTTGACTGAGATGGATCTAGGATGGAAGGAGAGAGGAGACTGAGTAGAAGAGAAGGTCTCTTTCAGGAGATGGTTTCTGAGCTGGGTTTTGGAGATGTGTGTACTGAGATTGTTTGGAATCGAGCCTTAGCAGACCCTCCAGCGGGTTTTCAGAGGCAGTGAGTTGCATGGCAGATTTCCCATCTTTCTCCCACAGAGTAGCTGGTGGGTTCAGACTGTGTACCTTTGGGTTGGCAGCGTGACTCCTTACCACTCAGCCACCAGAGCTCCCTTTAGAATATGAGTAGGAAATAGTTGCGAGCAAACAGATTAAAAGATCATTCTAGAATATATGTATGTATCTTTATTATTCTTATTTATTGAAAATCAGCAACCAGGTAGAATGCATTTGAAAGGCATGGAGTATGCATTTTGAAATGCATGGAGATGTGTAAGTGTGGGACATGTTTGGGAACTTTGTAGCTGCAATACAGACAGAAAATCACAAGAAAAGAAGTAGGCAGTAGCCATTTTTGAAAAGATTCTGATGCGCTTGGGTTTTACCCCAAAGGTAGCAACAGGGAGCAATGGAAAACTTTAAACAGGAGTTTAATTTGTGCTTAGTCAAGATTGTTCTGTTAGAAGGGTGGAGTATGTGCTCGTGTTAAGTACTTTCTGAACACTTTTTAGCAGTCTCCATAGCAATCCTGAAAGATAAGTATTTGATCTACTTTTTGGAATAGGGAACTGAGATTTAATGTGCTTTACCTTTTCATCCTGTTGTTTTTGTTGTGTGCTGTCGAGTCGGAACTGACCCATAGCTGACTCTCTGGTGGGTTTTCAGAGGCAGTTAATTGCACTGGAGGAGATTGCCCGTTCGCCTGTGAGCGGCTGGTGGCCTTGAACCACGTGCCTTTCAGAATTGCAGTGCAGCTTCTTGCCACTAAGCCACCAGAACTCCCTTTTTCATCCTAGGACTGCCATAACAAATTACCACAGATGGGTCTTCTATAAACATAGAAATTTGTTCTAAGAACTCTGAAGGCTAGACATGTGAACTCAGTGACAGCAGGGCGGTGGTCACTCAGAAGGCTCTGAGGAAGAATCCTTCAATGTCTCTTCTAGTTTCTGGTAGTTGCTGGCATTTCTTGGTTTATGGCTTCATCTCCATGTGGCCGTTTCCCCCCTTTATGTGCCTTTGTCAGTTTCTGTCTCTCTGTACCCAACTTTTCCTTGTCTTGTGAGACTTTCATGTAGTATGACCTCTTAACTTCATTACAGCTGAAAAGACTAGATTTCCAAATAAAGTCACTCACAGATGGAGGGAGGAGAGAGAGGTTAGGACTTCAGTGTATCTTTTGCATCAAAGGAAACCTTTTTAATCTACCCTACTTGCATAAAGCTGCTATTTTGCCCCTAATCTGGTCTGGTTTAAGCCCATTTTCAAGGCCTGATTTAAAGCAATATATATGACAGCACCTATTATTGAAACTAGTTCATTGAAAGTGGATATTAAAAATTAGTTTACTTAGAGAAAATAGTGCAACAATGAATGAATGGAAATCCAAAATCTCTGTAAATGTTCATTAAAATTAACAAAATTTAATAAAAAACCCCCGAAAACCAACCAAACAACAACAAAAAATTATGTAGTATTCATCCTTGTGAGACAGAGTACAGTCAACTTATGAAAACCAATATATATTTATATATGAAAGATTGATTGAAACCATCAAGGAGGTACTCATTCCTTAAAATAAAAAACCAGATGTGTTATGTTAAAAAAAAGGAATTTATGGGGGCGAGCTCTGGTGGCCTAGCGGCAAGAAGCTGCACTGTAATCCCAGAGGTATGTGGTTCGAATCCACCATATGCTCTGCTGGAGAAGGAGGGGCAGTCTCCTCCTGTACCAGTCAGATCCGATGTGATGGCACACACACACAAAATAATAAAATTAAATAAAAACTTAAATAAAATGAGTTTACGGGATCTCTGGTGGCCTAGTGGCAAGAAGCTGTACTACAATCCCGAAGGTATGTGGTTCGTGTCCACCAGATGTGCCATTGGAGAAGGAGGGGCAAGCTCCTCCTGTACCAGTGAGATCTGATTTGATGGTACACAACAAGAAAGGAGAGAGAGAGGAGAAGGAGGGGCAAGCTCCTCCTGTACCAGTGAGATCTGATTTGATGGTACACAACAAGAAAGGAGAGAGAGAGAGAGAGAAGAATTTATGGCTGTTATTTGGCAGCACACATACAGCCACAATGTGGAGAAGATGAGCACGAACCAGTGCGAGAATAATGTGAAATTCATAAAAATAAGCGTCAAGTCTTACTGCTGCCTGAATCCTTCTGTTCCCCCCCCCCCCCAATAAACAGGCCTTGTTTCAGTCAGTAGAACTTGGATACAGGGTCTTCCATGCAAGGCTGAAGGGTGGAGGTTTTTCAGCAGAGGGATCAGAACACAGTGAGCGTCATTTCTTATCTCCTATATTTGCTCTCCCAGAGGTAGTGTGAGCCTTTGGCATTGGTGGACTAGATAAGAACTTGTGAGAGAGCGCTTTGGTGGCCTAGTGGCGAGAAGCTGCACTGCAAACCCAGAGGTGTGCACCTTGAATCCACCAGAACCTTTGCTGGAAAAGGAGGGACAATCTCCTCCTGTACCAATCAGATCCAATTTGACGGTACACACACACACACACACACACACACACACACACACACACACACACACACACACACACACATATTAAAAGAAAAAGAACTTGTTGTGAAACTAGTATCTGATACTTATTTTTGATCTGGAACCCAGGAAAACTAGAACTGAGTAACTATTTTC